TCTCTCTCTCTCTCTCTCCTTCTCTTCTCTCTTCCTCTTTCCTCCCTCTCTCTCCTCTCTCTTTCCTCCTCCCTCTCTCCTTCCCCTCTCCTCTCCTCTCTCTCTCCCTTCTCTCCCCCCTCTCTCTCCTCTTCTCTTTCCCTCCCTCCCTCCCTCCCTGCCTTCCTTCCTACCTCCCTCCCTGTTATTTTCTTAAAGAATGTGAGGCAATACAAATGCTTGTGGTATGTAGTGGATCTGTACTTATGAAGTGTACTGGACTCCTTGGATGACACCATAGTGGTGATCTATCATCAGTTAGATAGGGTTGGACTTTTTGCAAGTGGTTCATATGAAAATACATGAGTTGATAGGAAAAGTGATAGCGTGATAAAGCCTTGAATTTAAGTGGTAATTGATTAAAATTTTTAATTCAGCTGTAATATTTTTAGATAGAGAGAAAAAGTCCAATAGTATACAAAAAGTGAAATTGTATTTAAAAGAGCTGTATATTATGGGCAATTTAATATAAATAATTCATTAACTTTCAAGAATTCAGTTAAGTTTAAAGAAACGGCAAAGCACCTTTTAGATTGCATGCCAGAAAAGGGTTTTAAACCATACCAGAATCATTTTCCTTCATTATTTTAATGAAGCCATTGCTTCTCTTTTTTATCGCAACCATGAGAAACTTCTTTTGAGAGTATGTATTGATTTTTTTTATGTTGTTGCAGAGGATGTGTTAACAGAGGACAAAGGAGAATGTGTCATATGCCTGGAAGATCTCTGCCAGGGAGATACAATTGCTCGGCTGCCCTGCCTCTGCATTTATCACAAAACTTGTATCGATGAGTGGTTCCAGGTAAGCAGATTTTTTTTCTCTCTCTTTCTCTTTTTGCTTTCTCATTCACTTTAGTTTCCAGTACTCACTCCCTCCCTCTCAGTTCTCTTCCACTTTCTTCTCATGCCTTTCATTTACTATCTTAAACTCGCATTAATTTTCTCCTTCACTCTCTTTCTTGTTCTTGCCTCACCTCTCCACCGTCTCTCTCCCCTATTTCCCAAACTTTTTCTCTTTCCACTCTTCCCTTCATATTTTGACTTTCTCATGATAGTCTCCTTTCACAGCAGTCAAATAAAGTTTGTTTTGAATCAGCAGAAAGTATTTAAAGTTTCACTCCTGTGAACCTAATTTTAGAAAGTATATTCACCTTTTCAGTATTGCGAGGACTAACAGGAGTCTTATTTTTTTGCAGGTGAATCGATCGTGTCCTGAGCACCCGTATGATTGAGGCTAAGCACAGTTTTAATTATGATGAAAAAAATGCCTATGTGCCATTACTATTCATTGTGCCAGTTGGGGAAGCTTCACACAGGTGGATGCTGCCCCACAATCATGGGAAGGGAGGAACTTTACTCCTGTCTATACTAACCTGTTACTTCTGATAGACTTACAAAGAAAAGAGAATTAAAATGACAGACTCTTACTCACTCATTTTGATGGTGATGAAAGTAACAAGGATCTTAAAGACATATTTGTAATATGAGAATAATTTCTTGTATTTACATATTCCATGTTTTTGATGTGGGATGCAGTTACAGTATGCTGAATATCAACTTCCTTTTTGAAGATGAGGATACTGCATTCAAGAGAGAGAGTGCAGTATTTAAAGACTTTATCTCCTGATCTGGATGATGGAGATTTGTGATTGGAACATCAGATATATCAGATTTAATAAATTTACAAGGAAGAGAACAAAGATGACTGTTTCTTCAATTTTCCTGAAGAAGATAAAGCTTTTCTAGAATATACTTCCAGATGAAGTCTTGTGTACATGTGGGAGACAATAATGGAAAATTGTGCAACCCATTTAAGAAAATTTTGTTGTTGTCTATCTCCGCAGTGGTTTAAGAGTGATCCTTGTTTAAAGTGCTTCTGTAACGGCCCCAGATTCTGTGGAGATGAAGAAAGTACAGTCTGAGAAAGTGAAAGGCTCCTCAAGATTATTCCCTTCCAATCGAATTTAATGTTAGTTTTTTCTTCATTTTACATGCTGTGGAGATTCAGCTGATTGATGGAGGCTGATCTCCAAGCAAAAATGCCTTAATGTAACTGAATGAAGTGAATAGTAACATAATTATTATAGTCATGTTTGATTTTATAGAGATGACATCTCTTTATTTTTCATTGTGTAAAATGTATTTCAGGGTGTAGAGTTTGGCTGGCAATTGTATAGTACTTGTCACAATGGTTGTATAGACTGCTCAGGTAGTAGAACTAGTATACTGCCATAAACAGAATTGAGCCTCGATTAGTTGCGCTAAAGGCTTGGAATTGCTCATCGTACCTGCCATGGGTATGATTGCATTTTTGATACTTTGGCTATATAAGGATTTGGTAAGTTTTATGCATATACAAGGACCAAATTTACCTTCACAGCTACAATGTTATTTTTCAGCAAACCATGCAGTCATTGCTTATATGACTAACCACTAGCCAAACAAGAAGACAATATAGTTTGTTTCTGTGTGCACGACATGTGGAATTTGTCATGCTAGCCTCTTTGCTAATCAACTTGGAACTTTGACCTTTTTTTTCCAACATGATTACAGGTTATTATTTCTAAGTCACCTTATATCCAGCATTCAGACCACTAGGAAGACTCCCAAATGCATTATTATCTTGATAATTTTTTATCCTTCAGCTTCATGACACTCTCCACATCCTTGATCTCTCTAAGTGGAGGTTAGAACAACAGAACATGTACACTGAATACCTTATGCTCGAACTGAAGAATTTGTCAACAGACTACTTGTACTAGGCTACTGCTCACGATGCTCCATGCATTGCATTATAGATATCTCCAGAAGAGTTCCTTTTTTGTGTATAAAACATTGCTGGTCATGTTCATTCTCATCATAAATTAGGCAAGTTTCTTATCCTTCCTCTTTTGTTTAGAGAAATGATTACCTGAAATGCTCACAAATAGTGAACACCTCAACTCAATTATGTTAGTCTTGTAGATTTAATTTTGATATTTTTTCTTGTATAGGGACACAATGATGCACACAGTTAAATACATGCCTTTTCTAAGTAATGGAAGTATTTATGTGTGTGAAGAGAATGGATCCTTCTCATCTAGTAAAGTTCTGAGGTGAGTTATAATTTGAAGCAGTTTGGGCAGGACTGGACCTCAGCATGGTTTCTTATTTCTGGCTCTTGGAAGACACTTGGGGAGGAGGGATTTGCCGAGAATTTTCAAGATTATTCTTAGACATGTTTGATTTTTTTCTGACATTCTTTTTATCTCTTCGGTGTTTGATTTTTTTCTTCTTCCTTTTTTCCTCTCAGATAGTTGATACCTAGGTTAAAAAGAGCATATATATGGCCTTGGAGGTGAAGCACACGAATATAGCACTTGATAAAATATACAAAGAACTTGTCCAGAAATTACTTTTAAATCTTTTAATGACTACTGAACAGTTGAAAAGACCGGTTATGTTGTCTTGAATCTGATCAGGTAACCTTTGACCATGTTATTCTGAAGCTAAAGAACTGCGTGTCATTACAGAATGTATTGATATTGGCCGTGATATCAGACCGTACAGCATAATGCTGAAATTAGCAATTTTCACTACTGTATGGGCAAAGCTTGATGTAAATAGATTAGATATTTTGTAATCAAAACTAGAGGTAAAGTGTGTTGGCATATATGTTTGTGCGTATGCTTAAGTGTCTGTGAATGTTTATAAGATAAGATGTTTATTAAGAGAATTCATGTGAGTGAAGATGATTCAACTGATTTTGTGAAAGATGTGTGTAAGTGTATGTTAATGGGAAGTGAATGTCAAGTTTGTAAGAGAGAAAATGTGAAAGATTAGTTTGTAAGCTGGAAGAATAGGGAAATATTAAGTTTGTGAATTGTGAGGTTGGTGGATAAGTTAGTTAAGAAATAGCTAGGGGGAGGTAGGTTGTGGAAGAGGAAAAGGAAGAGAAAAGAATTTAGAATTATCAGACATAAAGAGAAATAAGGAGAAAAAGAGCTAGAGTGAGGGCTATATCGAGGGAGAGGAAAGGAGACACAAAAGAAGAAGGGCTGTAAAAGAGAGAGGGAATTAGAAAAGGAAGAGTGAGGGAATACTAACTATTGGGAGAGAAAGTATAGAGAAGAAAAAAAAAAAGGAAAAAAGAGGCAAGAGAGAGGATTATAGTGACAGGGAGATGTAAAATGTATGAGTGAGCAAGAGAGAGTGCAAGCGAGACAGAAAGTGAGACAGAAGGAAAAGATGACATAAAAATTATAGGCGTGTGCACGTATATATGTATAGGATTTGAACTTGTGATTCAGATAACAGAAGTGTAATGTTTGGGATGGGTAGATGGTAGTGCAGGTTTTATAAGAAGGCTCTAACAAGCATAGGCATGGTTTCCTTCGTCTTAGTAGTCCGGTGGTCACTTTAACTTTTTCTGCTGTCATAGTTATGTAGTGTCGGTAACTCAATAGAAAAGTTTATTTGACTCCAGTGATTCCATGGCCGAAGGTTGTAAATAACGGTTGTCACACATCTTTGGTCTCCCCTTCCCAGACATCCCCTCTGAAAGGAGTTCTTCGCTCCAAATGACCCTTTTTCTACTCTTCCTGTTTCTTATTTCTTTCACTGGGCTTCATATGCACACAGCTATTTATGACAGACCTCACTGATATTGCCATTTAAGATTCATTGTAGAGGGCAGGATTCAGTGCATGTTATTGCAAAAGGAAGTTGAAAGGTTGTTTGATGAGAGTATGTGAGTGTGAATGTGAGAGTGAGTGAGAGTGAGAGTAAGAGTAAGAGAGAGTTTATGTGTGTGTGTGTGTGTGTGTGTGTGTGTGTGTGTGTGTGTGTGTGTGTGTGTGTGTGTGTGTGTGTGTGTGTGTGTGTGTGTGTGTGTGTGTGTGTGTTGTGTGTGTGTGGTGTGTGTGTGTGTGTGTGTGTGTGGTGTGTGTGTGTGAAATATGTGCCAGAGAGACAGGAGTGAGTGAGTGAGTGAGTGAGTGAGTGAGTGAGTGAGTGAGTGAGTGAGTGAGTGAGTGAGTTAGTGAGTGACAGAGTGAGAGAGAGAGAGAGAGAGAGAGAGAGTGAGTGAGTGATGAGTGAGTGAGTGGGTGGTGGTGAGTGAGTGAGTGAGTGAGTGAGTGAGTGAGTGAGTGAGTGAGTGAGTGAGTGAGTGAGTGGGTGGGTGGTGTGGGTGTGTGAGTGAGTGAGTGACTTGCTAAAGTGAGTGTGAGTGAGAGTGAGAGTGAGTGTATGAGTATGAATGTGTGTGTGTGAGAGTGTGAGAGTGTGAGTGTGAGTGTGAGTGTGAGTGTGAGTGTGAGTGTGAGTGTGAGTGTGAGTGTGAGTGTGAGTGTGAGTGTGAGTGTGAGTGTGAGTGTGAGTGTGAGTGTGAGTGTGAGTGTGAGTGTGAGTGTGAGTGTGTGGTGGTGTGTGTGTGTGTGTGTGTGTGGTGTGTGTGTGTGTGTGTGTGGTGTTGTGTGTGTGTGTGTGTGTGTGTGTGTGTGTGTGTGGTGTGTGTGTGTGTGTGTGTGTGTGTGTGTGTGTGTGTGTGTGTGTGTGTGAGATAGAGGGAAAAATTGCAAGAAAGAGAGAAGGATACTCTGATTCATATGTATCTTGATTAGCACAGAAGTTGCCCCCCTACCTGCTGACCATCCAGGAAGTTTCCTTCTACAGGTGTACCATATTGATAGTGGTCTCTAACATGTTCTTGTAGCTCTTCGTGGGTGTGATTCAGAAAGGTCTCAAACAAGATGGACAGGAAATGGGCATTAACCATATTGGTTGAAAGAAAGATTTTTTTCTCCTTTTTTTTCCCCTTTTTCTTGACACTTTCAACAGTCAGTAAACACTTGATTGCCCAGTCTTGGCTTTTTTACAGAGAAGCTATTTTGAACACACCCAGTCTCTGCTTTTAACTAACTTGCAGCAGCATTGGTGAGTTGTGTTGACTACCACATTCCCATGGGGTCACGATTCTAATTTCTGTAGTCAATCGCCCATGGAGTCATATTCTGGTGTAACGTAGCAACAAGACTACGCTACCACATCTCTTATCATGTTGTTTTCCTACTTTGCATGGATCCAATTTCACATGTGTATCATTGTATAGGTCCAGAGTATTTTATTACCCTACTCAGATGTACTGTATATTACACTAAAGGTGCAATGATTTGATATATGTTGTAGTTTTGTATATATATTCTATATATTAGTGATATTAATCAAAGAAATTGGCTGTCATCATGGCGTCTGATGCAAAACAGATTAAAAACTGTTAGTGAGAAATTTTGAAGAAAACGGAAATGTGATTTATTCTTTTAGTTGAAATAAAATTTTGTACACCGCTGTGTCCCAAAATTATTAATAATATATAAAGGCTGATGAATGTGGAATATTGTTTTAGATATCCTAATATAAATGTTTTGATTATTCTTTGTTAGATTTCCAAGGGCATATAGTATGCATTTTTTTTCATGTATACACTGTTTT